AGTGTCGATGGAACCCTTTATCTATCGCGCGACGGTTTCCCTTCTTCAACTCCACCCCGTAGCAGCGTTACTCCTCTTCTCTCGATTTCGCTTTAATTCGAATACCCGCGGGCCATCGGTTTCGCCGAAATTATTCCCGCTAGCTCGCGCTAGCTTGTCGCTGCGACCTTACCCATTGCGGGATATTCGAATTATGCTCTCGCTCCCCTCCTCCTTGACGACGCGATACCAGAAGATTACCTTTGCCATTTCCCCTGCCGCTGGATGTTCCTCCAACGTGATACATGTATAGTTCTCCGATAGTCCAAAAGTCGAAACGATTCTCCCCGCGAAAACATTAAGGGATGGCGGAGCACCGCACGTGTGTTCGATCGGCGAATAGGCAAGGAAGTTACATATCGGTGGCGGTAATCCGATTGAGAATTCAGTGCAGCTGACGTCTTTCAACCTCAGTCGCGATACCGTATCAACGAGAATACGGCGAGTAGGAAGGGATCGATTTCGCTGTAATTTCTCTTTCGAACAGCAGGCGCATAAGCGGGGGATGGATTTCCGAAATTAAGCGAGATTCACTGGGCTGTGCAGATAGGCGACGTCGGTACGCGTCAACGTCACCGCTGTTTCATCCTCCGTAATGCTATCGCTTCCTCCGACACGAATTATTTCGTTTCGTGATCGATGACGGGCAAATTTCACGCGCCCTCGATCCTCCTGCCGTTTCCATCCAACCGTTAATTGTTCATTCAATTCCCCTCCTTCAAACTTCTCTCCGAACTGTCTCTAAGCGCAAATCTACCACGTCATTTTTCTCGTCTAACCGTGTAGGTACATATGTAGGAGGAAGTAACGGGTCTGATCGGGCCATACACCGAGATATCCCGGCGGAGGAAGTAAGTACGAAACAAAGGAGCCCGGTGTTAGGTAGAAGCGAACGTTACCGCGTTCAGGGCGATATTATACGCGGACTCTCTCGCGGAAAGATTCCGGTTGAAAAGCAGGCGCCGCTCGTATAATCATGACCAGTCGTTTCCGCTTAATTCCGGACAGTATTTAGAGACGGGCTTAGAACTGGAGAATGGGTCGTTATGATACTTCCGGCAACATTACCTGTTACGAATGGCGGTGACGGTGGTGGCGCTGCCGCGCCAAACCGTTTGAGGAATTTCCAACCATTTCCCGGCCACCGGCGAAATTGTTGGATAACTCGCGCGAACGCTTGATATAAACTCCTCTCCGGAATATATTACGCCGCAGAGAATATTTCTTAAGGACTTAACGGTGACTCGTATGGCGATAATAATCGTTTTCCTTCCGACAGGACTTTGCTCGCCGCCGCTTTAATGGAATTTAAAGCGGTCCTCCTCTCTCTCTCTCTCTCTCTTACTCTCTATCCTTCCTTCCAGTCCCTACCGTTAAAGTGATTACCCCGTCAGACGAAAAAAAATATTCATAATTCCACGACGGGATAAGTTTTCTTAACGAAACGAAGGCGAGACGACCGGGTAGCACAGCAGCGGACGTGCTGGTGATAAGGCAATTTGTTCAGCTGACCTCACTCTCCAGCGATCTCGGTGAATTATTTCTAACGATCGATCGATCGAGACTTTACCGTGAGCTGGATTTTAAGACACCGCCGGTGGGGAATCCTGACGAAACCGAGGACTCCGGATTGGTGGTTCAGGCACGTATACTCGCCAATCAGCACGCGTTGCCTCGCCTGTCTCGCCGAGACGTACTTATGCATGTAACTGTTGGTTTCTCGCAACTCTAGGACGCTTTTCGTCTCGTCATTCTACAGTCTTGGTTTTTCTCTTTTTTTCACTTAACAAATTACACGCGTATCGTTGCTCACAAGCGAACTCATAAACATCAGGGCACCCTTTATATTCCTACAAAAAGTGTCATCTAATTCGCTAACTTGTTAATTACTACTTCAGTGTCTTAATACTTACAAAGAGGAGTGTACACAGCAGAGAAAATGGAAAGTTTCCCCCGAGAAGGTAAGGCATACATGATAACTCGGTTGTACGATCGTGCCATAGCGGAGCAGCACGTAAAGCTTGATCGTGTTCTGGATTCCTCGGAGGTAATCGATAGTCACGATGTTTCACGTGGATGTAACGGAAACGCGCGTCGGTTTGATCGTCCTTTAATTGACGTAACATACGGGGAGGACGCGACGGAGGCACGATATCGGCGTTCACGTGCGATGAGTTACATCGGCGTGGCTCGGGTTATTGGACGCTTCGGGAACGCGTTAACGACACGCGTAAACACGCGAAGCAGAACGCGGCAAACGAGTTGTCGTCGCCTCCGCGTTCGCCGCGACACGCCACGCACTTGTTTAACATCCGCGTGTCACGGACTACCTCGATTTCTCTCTCCCCGTCACTCCGCCACCGCCGCCGGAATCGCGAAATTCAATTTCCTCCTATCGTGCTTCGCGACCAATTGCCTGCTCGTCTGCCGCTTTCCACCACTCCAAGCAACACGATACGTGGAAAATTCGAATATCTGCTTGATTCTCCTTTTTTCCCCCCCTCTGTCTTCGATTTTCATGAAGAATGTACGAATCCGGGTACACACAGACCCGCTATTTCGCGCGAGACAGTCTGTTGAAACAACCGACGGTGAAATCTTTGCGGACGTTCACACTGGAGAAAGCTAATTTCCGCCGGAAGTCCATCTTTTCAATGTTTTAATCGAGACACACCGAGCGGTCGATCGTATTATTTTATTTAGTTCCAACGTTAGAGCTGAAACTGGAAAATCTTTCGTGTTCCAGAAAAGGTTCAAGGTAGTCGAAGATCCCCGCTAATTAGATTCGACTGGTCTCGCGAGGGGGGAAAAGAGGGGGCGAATACGCGAATGTTAAGGGAAGAAGAAACGAGAGAAAAAGGGAGTCGGAGAGGAGAAAGCCGGGCGAGGTTTCGGCGACGTCTGACGAGAGGCGGGCCGGAAGTAGGAAAGATAGGAGAGGCAGGAACGCCGAAAGGACGAAGAAGGGGCGGGGAGAGAGAGAGAGAGAGAGAGAGAAAAATGACGGCGGGCGTAAACAGAGCTAAGTGAAGTTAACGACGGAGCAAGAAGAGCGGCAAAAATGACCCCGGGAAAATTACCGCACACGAAACGGCTTAATGTCCAAAAAGACGAGCGAACGAGCAACCGAGAGAGAAGAAGAACACGCGATCCAAGACGAAGGGAGAGAAGGTGCAGCCGCTTAATGACCACCCTGTACATTCGTATCTCTCCTGGCTAGCTCTCTCTCTCTCACACATCCCTTCTTATTTCTCCTCTTTCTCCGTTCGCCAACCCTTTTACCCTTCTCTAACCACCCATTCTCTCTCCGACTTCTGTACGATTCAGACGGTGGGTGCCGCTGGGACCATTATCTGTAATTGCTTTCCTTAATTCGATGCTCGTTGCTCTGCGTGGTGAATGGGAAAAAATTCTTCCAACGCACCGGAGAAAGGGGTTAACTGGCGTTCAGGCAAAAAGGAACACGGATACACCGTGCAGAGGGAGGAGAGTTCGTCGACCGATTCCTACTCGATTTTGCACTTCGACGTCCCTCCACTCTCTTTCATTGCTTCATCTCTTCGCCGCGAATAGAAGCGCAAGGTCCAGACGGGATGGAAGTCACGGCGAGTCACATTTAAATGCCACCGGTTTCTGGCTAATGTCTTAATTACGCGCTAACCGAGTTTCGAGCTGGCCCGTCGCTCATTTCGCTGATCGAGTTCCAACCGAGGGGGAGAGTTTTAATGGTAAGTAGCCTGTCTCGTTTCCGCTCTTTCTCTCTTCCTCTTCTAGTGCCTTGAATCGAGAGATAATCAAATGCGGTCTGAGCGAGAGAGAGAGAGAGAGAGAGACAGAAGGAGGAGGGAGTAAGTAAGTAAGTAATGGTCGTTTGTTCTTGAATGTCGAGAAGTTGATGTACGAGGATTCGCCGGCGGTCGTTTGCTCGCTCGTGCGCTCGCACTCGCCAGCGCAAGCGTACAGGCGGAGCAGAGATACGAGGCCGGTGTACGCGCGCGTTCCACGTTCGCTCGCATCTCCCGCTTGCAAATTGATAGACGCAGCCGCGACCGTAAATCACTTTAGTGACAATTGATTTGGTGCCCTCCGTTTTACCTCGTTGTAAACTCCACGCCACGCTGATATTTACGATCGCACGTGTACACACCACGTCACCCAGTGACACACTGCTCGCCACCGACGGCAAATCTTTTACATTTTTTCGTTATTCTTCTTCACAACCCCCTCTTCTCCCCCTGTCCGCGTTTTTCCACGACGCTAACCATTTTTGACGGTTTCCTATCAACCGTCCGATAAGTCGAATTCGTCCGAAATCAGTCGATAAGGTTGGAAAGATAAGCGAAATCTCGAGGAATCTTCTCAAGTTGGAGGTTTACTCGGAGCGTAGAGGAAGCTTCCGTAGAGCAAGTAGATTGGCCACGGCCTAAGTAGCACGACATACACAGAGGCACGTAATGGGTGCGGTGCATTCGTTCCGGGGATGGCGATTCGTCTTGCTTACCAGCCTCGTCGTTGACACCACCCACTCTCCGAACAGCTACCATCCGTTCCGAAGGCGGCGGAGGAACCCGCAGGAACCAGCCAGCGACCTTGCCTCCTACAATCCCTCCGCAAACCTTTGTTAATCTCCCGGCAATCGGTGCCGGTCACTATATTGATCAGGGTCAACCTAACTCGGCTCGTTTCTCCTTGAACGCGCTTCTTACACGATTAAGCTTACGGCGGACACTCCATTTTTCATTCTGTCACGTCTACCTTTCCCTTTCTTTCCCCAACCCCTCTCTCGTTTAAGCTCTGCTGCTAGCTGATTCCTCCAGTGCTAACCTATCTCTCCGCGATTATTCCCGGTATTTTACACGATTGAAATTCGTGCAAATTTGCGCGAGAGGATAAAGGTAAGTAGAGTGGTAAGAACAGAAAAGGAGAAATGTGTCAACTCACCGGTACGTTTCTCCGCGTCGCGGTATGTAACCTCGCTGAGAATGACCGGTTGACTTCGTCCTTTCCCGTTCACAGCGTACACCGCGACGTGAACACCCGTCTCGACGGTCGTCTCCAAGCCAGAGAGGGAGAAACTCGGCTCGTCGGTGTTCGAGACGTTGTAGAGAGGCTGGATGCTCGACAGGAAATCCACGTCGCCGTGGTACACCTCCAGGATGAATTTTTGCGGAAGCCCGCCATCGTAGCCAGCCACGCATTTCACCTCCACGCTGGTGTAAGTCTGGTTCGCGAGCGTGCAGTTACGTACCGGAGATGGTTTTCCTGAAACGAGAACGTCACCACGGTTACATGCCACCGTTCCACCTTCCTCGAGGTTTCGGCAAACCTTCTCGCGCCAATCTCTCTTTCTCTCTCCCGGTAGAATCGACCCTCTCTGTATTATTATTCTCTTTTTTTTTTAATGTCTCGGTTATTAAAACACTCTCCCTTTTCTATCTCCACGGAGGATTGATTCTACACGACAGCGCTCAAGTTCTCGAGGAAGAGAACAGGAGTGACTCACTCGGGGTGAGTCAGTTATTTCGCGAAGGGGGTGGAAAAAGTTGACGTTCTGGAAGTTCCAAATATTAAAACGAGCCGGCGCGTGAAATTGCTTCGTAAAGGATTTCAGTCTTGGCTGGCTCTTTAGAACGTTAACTACGATTGTAAACGGGCGAGGTCCGCCAGCTGGTCGCTCACCCTTTTACAGAACTCGCAATATTCCACGGCTACTTTGTGCGAAACCGTACGCTCCCAGCGAGCTTTACGATCTTCGTCAAACAGCTGTCTCTGCCGCGCTGGACCAAAGTTTCGTCCACTTACGACAAACGGTTACTATTCCCCACCTTTCGCGAACGACGAACAATCACACGAGAAACGAACAGTTATTTCCTATCTCCTTTTTTCCCACCCTCTTCTCGTACTCGTGGTCGTATCGTTGTCTCGCCCGCGAGAGACCCTCGTCGTCCACTATTCGTTCGAAGGAAATTTCCGCTTCGCGATCTCTTCCCTCTACGTTTTCTCTTCTGTTATCGCGCACAGGCTCGTTTGTCGCTCTTTGTCCGGTAATATTTTCTGGATACTTCGTACCAAGCTCCAAGCCCCGCTCTACAGGTTGGCTGAAAGCGCGCGCGAGGGAGCGCGAGAGAGCGCGGTCGCAGCTGCTCTCTCGAAATCAAGCTCCGCGCCGAGCCCCTGGTGAAAAATGTTTGCGCATCTACGAGTGGCAAGGATTTAGTGTACCGGGATAGTAATGGTCACAGAGACGTCCCACCTCTTTTTCTTCTTTTCCTTCCTTCCATCTCTCCTCGTACCTTCGCCATCACGCCGTCTCGCCGTCGTCCGCTGATACAGTTTGCGTCCTACGAAAATTCTTTTTCTTCTCTCTCACTCTCTTCCTGTGTGCTCCCGTGCCGCCAGTCAAAGCTCACACTCGCACACACAGTTCCACTAGTGATTCACCTCTCGCTGTTTCCCGACACGCGCTCCTTCCAAATAAAATTTCCTTTTCCTTAAACAGACAGCCCAGGCTATCGCGAGTTCGAGCACCGAGCACAAGATAAATATTGTTCGCCTTTTCCGTGGACGCGAGTTAAAGGGGCGGAATCCTTCGGAACAACCTTAATTTGCTTTTCCAAACCAACTCTCGTCCCATCTCGTTCCAACGGAAAAAAGAATCTTCTCGTTCCCTTGTTTCACCTTAATATATTTGAGCAAAGGTGTGCGCGCGTGCTCTCTTTGCTATTCGCCCGCAGAAATTAGAGCTCGCTCGTGAATTTCCCCGGTGTTAATCGCGTCCGTCCACTGTTCGCAACGTTTATCGAATTTTACCAAGGTTTCATCCACCCGTCCTTCCACCGGTCGTTCAATTTATTTTCATCCGGTGTATAATGATGCTGCGTGCTTTGGAAAAATGGGTAAACTGGGAGAAAAAAGCTGTTTCCAGTCGGCGGAGTTTGTTATTTAATCAACATCGGCTCGGGGTAACGACGTTCCCGCATCAGCGATTCATTTATTTCCTTTCCTTCACTTTCGCTTTCTTCCTTTTTTTCTCTCTACTTTTTCTCAAATCAGGCTACGCCCGGCGGAAATTCGCCGGAAAATAGTTTTTTTTTCAGTGGGGTAATGGCGAACAATGCTCGAACCCGCGGCGAATAACGAGCTTAACTTTCTTTGGCCCACGTTTTGCGCTGCCCTCTCCTCGTGACCTCTCTCCACTCCTTCTCTTTGTCGCAACGTTCGAATACCTTTTCTCAACGACTTAAACGACGACGTCGTCGACGACTACTACCACCACGATAACGCAATATCCAATACCAATAACGACAGATTTGAAAATAATTTCGTTCCCGTCGAGAGCCGCTTTACGGGTCGCTGCGGATTGAAAGAGACTCGCTAAAGGTTTCGTTACGACATCCATCTACGATCCAGATCGGAACGACCAAAGATTGACCGACTAGCCTCGATTCCACTTGTAACTTTACGTCTTTCCACCAACTACCGATAGCACAGAACGCTCCTCCATCTTTTTCCCTCGATACTCTAACGCCCTTCCACTCGTTTCGGCTATACAAGACGCGTCTCGGCAATGTACCGCTCTATAGAAGAGAAACTTCCGATCCGATCTGACTATCAACGGCGAAAGTAATTTCGAAACTGGGTCGACCAATCGATCCTCCAAAAAGTCAGCTATTTTTTCTGCTAATGTAATCGACAGTTATCTTCTTAGAATATACTCGGTGCCAGAATAGAATATCCATAACTAGGGGTATAATTACGCAGTAAACGTTCAGCGACCGAGTTTCGAGTGCTCGAGATTAGATTCTAGAAATCTAACATGAAAGATTCTAGCGCGGTTTGTCTAAATTCAGCGCGAGGAATAACACAGTCTAAAATATACGTGAGAGAGTTAATTATTAGTCAGAGCCGTTGAATAGAGCATGTACTACTTTTCCCAAGCTGGACGCGCTATTTTAACAAACACGTTGTCGGAACAATAGTTTTCCCATAATTAATCTACACTGAACAACTAACAAAAAAGAAGAAGAAGCAGCGTTAAAAATTCACTACGAGAGCGTATAGTCTGTGTAACTATAAAATATTAAAGGGATTTGGCAAGATGGATGGTCGCGAAATATCGTCAGCTTCATTTGTATCGCCAAGCTTCGCCCCCCTTCCAAATACACCGCGGCCCAGCCTGTCTTTTGTCCGTCGAGTAATTTTTTATCCGTCCGAGGGAGAAAAAAGAAAGAAAAAACAAGCAAGTCAGCTAGGGAAACAAACGAGGAGAAATAAGCGCGATGAAAATGCGGCGGCACCGGTTCCCGGTGCGCACAAAGGAGAAAGGACCGGAGGTCGATTTGGCGCGCGCGTGTGCACTGGTTCGACGTGTATTCGTCATCGTCAATACGCTTTCGACGGCAGCTCGTCGCGTCAACGTCATTCTCGATCATACGCGGGGGAGAGAAAAAAAAAAAGTAAAAAGAGGACCAGGGCGAGGCCGGCCGGCCGGCCGCCGCGTGCGCGTTCCGAAAATCCGCGAGCGGATTAACGTCGGTTTACCACGCGATGATTGGTTGCATCGCATTGTACGCGCGGCGATAATTCCCGAATATCTGTCAGGATTTCGTCCGGTCACCCCCGTCCGCAAAATACAGGGTCCTTCGTAAAATAGTTGGACGCTTGAGAAATGAACGCGGAGGCCAATAAAATGGCGGCCTTTGGTCCCGGTCATTTCCACTGCGAATCAATCCATTCCTCTATATGTACATTCCATATACAGGGTGTCCTAGTTTTCTCCTATCAAACTCTGTTCCACGGGTGTAAGTAGGAAAAAAATGTTACACGAGCATAGGTCGTTTGCAGGTATGTTAAAAGGTTGTAAGAAAAATACGAGATACGAAGGGAACGGTAACGATCTCGTATTGTTGTTATAACTTTTTAATAAAGCGTCCAACGATCCATGTTCGTACAACGTTTTTTTCTTAATTCCACTCGTGCAATATACCGGCGAAGTTTGATCGGGAAAGAACTGGGACACCCGGTACGTAGAATTATGCATTTAGCAGGGAGCGAAGCGCTATGGGTTGTAGATTATTTTCGATCTATTCATAATTGTCACGTGCTTGTTAATTAATTTCATCTGTTTCCCATCGAGTGGCTCCTCCCGCTGTATCGAAACACCCAGAATGAACATGTTTATCGGACGATGTTTATAAAATACAGTTATCGTCGAAGAGTATTCTTTTGTCGTTCGATTGATCACGCCGGCGTTGCTGCTCCGTGTATTTCCGGGTAATAGGATTTTAATCCTCCGTGTCTACGGGAAGAACACCGGTGGAAAAAAATAACACGACGATGCTCTTTAGCGAATGAGTAATGATTAGCGTGTGAAAAAAAAGAGCGAGACACGCGAATCGTTGGGAGATCGAATAGGGTAGCCGCGTTAACGGTGATACTGCGAGCTTGATTAACGATCGCTTTCGCGCTAATTGGACGGATCTTTCGAGGTGGAACAACGTTGCTCTGGAAAGGGTAAATAATTGAGGCGTTAATAGTCTCGGTGGTTTGGTAGAGTCTGAGGGGCGGCGGGGGAATACACCGTGCTCTTTGAATAATTTACGCACGACGGACTTTCGAGCGCGCTCACCTCCCGCAGTATTTATCTCGCGTTTTTTCCTTCCTCTCGTCGTAGATTCGACTCGCGCGACGTATTTGGGAAAACCGACTCTCGCTCTCCGCGTGGCACAGTTTAAAACCATCGCGTTCCTTCGGTTCGATCGCATGCAAATGAAATACGTGCCGTTATCCCGCGGCTCTAATCATTCGCGACACTCGTTGCATCGATGTTTCTCGTTTCACAAAAGAACTACATCGTTTGCAACGAAGCAACGGCCAGAGAGAAGAACACGGGTGGAAAGATTAGGAAATATCGTGGAAACCGAGTGGCTGATCCTCTCGACGACACAAAGTGTCTTATTTCTATACACGAACGGGTGGGAAAGTCGTAGTTTAGAAGCGTAAACCGTGGAAAGGATTTTAACCCGATTTCCTGACCACTCGAAGACTGGAGCGCGAGGGGTCGGCCACTCTGGCCGCGTGTAACATTTGCCGAGATCCGGTAAATACTCACCGGCGGCTATCAGCTGGAAGAGACACGGTCTCGCTTGTGTACCGACGAAATTGTCCGCCCAGCACGACAGTGTACCGTAATCCAACTCGGTGGTCGGCGTGTACCTGAGCACGCTCACGCCGCTCGACTTCTCCATCGAGAATCTGCCCGGCGCCACTTCCAACGTCTCCCCGCTGTTGTTGAATTTCCATCGGAAATTGTGCGCCGGCGGATCGGCCTCCACTTTGCAGACGATGTCCAGCGACTCGCCCCTCGACGCGCCTACCACTATGATCCTGTCCTCCTTGCACACCGGAGCGACTGGAAAAAGTAAATCGTTACACCTGTGTAGAAACTTTCTTAGCGAAATTAAAGAAGGAGGATAGAGCGGTAGGAAGAAGAGAAGTAGGTTAAGTTGAACGATCGAAGGAAATAAAGGAAAATATTTCCTCTCGTCGTCGTCGTCGTCGTCGTCGTGTTCTAAATTCGAGGCACGCGAGCTCTGGCAACATTTTCGAAATTTGGACGCGTCGGGTCGTGCAACGTTACACGGACTTACAGATATTATCCGCGAAAATTGAAAGGCTGAAGATTCGAGGACGGCGCTTTTACGGGTGTGACGTGGAGCGAGCGATAATTGGACGGTAGCTCTAGTCTCTCTCTCCTCTCCTCTCCTCTGTCCTGTTACGTCTTGTCGGGGGCTAAAGGGACACGAGAGCCGTTTACTCACGTTTTCACCTCGCGAAATTTCCCGAGCATACCTCTCTCCGTTTTGTCACATGGGGGCTTTCGCTCGAATGAAATCGTTCCGCGACTGATGCAAAAAGATTTTCCACCTACGACTCTACCAGCCGTATCTCTGCCGCGCCACGTTTTCCCCGCGATATGCATTTCTCCCAATTTATCTGCCGTTTCTATCTCCGGCTGCATTCGTCTCCCGTTTCACTTGCCGGCGTAAGAGAGATAAATAGATGGACGTACCTTATCGTTTCAAACGAGAGAGAGGAAAAAATCGAGTCTTTACGGGGCTGCACGCAAATTAATACGGCGCAGCGACTATCAAAGGGGATGTAAACGAGGAAAACTCGCCAGGATTATTGCCAGTTAAATAAGACAAGCAAACAGACGCTTCTTTCTTTGAAGATAGAAATTTGATCGTTCACCGGGAGATCCTCTTTTCAAATTGAAAGAAAATAAGAGCGAAGGGGGAGAAACGTGATATTGTCTCGGAAAGAAAGACGAAACAGCCATGTTCATGAACACAAAGCGACAGAATCGTGCTCGGCAACCTAAAGAATCCAGCCGACCCGCTCGCTTTTCCAACCTATAAATCCATTTACGAGTTAAGGCAATCTTCGAGAACAAGTTTTTAGTGCCGTCATCTCCACATCTACGTATACGTAACACGACAAACTCTTTAACGTTTAATTCCTTTCGATCCCACTTGTGTCCTCGGCTTCCTCCCGCCTGACACATACTTTATTCCGTCGGTGAAGTATTCAACGATAACACCCGGGGAACGAGGCGAAATGAATATAAGAGAAGCGCAAACACGCGAGCCCTCGAAAAAGTTTTGTTAAAATGCATAATGCCGCGCATCGTTGACACGGGTGGAGTGGTGGGCGGCAGGCAGGCAGGTAGGCAGGGACCATCGAATCTCGACGTTTTTCCGCGTTTTCGCTGGCTCTCGTGAAAAGTGAATCGGTCCAGGGTGAACTCGAGGCGAGGAAAAGCGGCCGCGATACTCGTTTCTCGCTGTAATTAACGCACGACGCCGTAAACATTCGTCGTTAGTCGCGTGAGCGCTGGCTCTGTAATTCGAAATTAACGACGAGAATTATCGGACGTGAAGCGCACGGTTTTTCAAGCAGCGCGAGTCAAATTTAATTATCATCCGCGTCAGGAAGCATCGCGCGCACGCCAGTCGGATCTCTGCCCTCTGATTTTCCACCGGCGGCCAAACGGCTTCCTTCTTTTTTTTCTCCCTTCTTTCTTTCGTTCACTCTCGCTCAATTGCGGCCGATGCTGTGCACCGTGTCTCTACTCTGAAACGTCAAATGTCCCCTTTCAGCGATTTTTTTGTTCAGATTTGCGCGGCTATTGAAACGGAGCTTGCTTCGACGAATTTCATAAATCTTTCGCTGTAAATTATTTAAATCGCGGTATCCGCGAATGTAATTTCTCCGCTTTCAACGCGTGTATAGTCGATGGAAGAAATGTCAACGTGAATTAAGGAGGTATTTTGCTTTGGAACTTAAACGATCAATTTCTTTTGGAGTTTCTTTAAGTATAAGCATTCTAGCAGATGTGTGCAAAGGGATTTGTTTGAATTCGTCGAATTAATTTAGATGTAAGCGTTTGAAGGATGCAGTCGTACCGTAAAGAAATGGATAGGTGCATCTTTGAACGCGTTTTTCTCGAAACCTCATTTTTTAATTTTTTAATTTGTGGAGAATCTCCAGCACACATCCTGCCACCGTAATTCTTTTAACACGCTGAAGACGGCAGAATATGAAGACAATCTCGTAAACAATCGATATTTTCATTTCACTTTCGCTCAGACCGCAGCCAGATTTATACCGACCAAGATTCCTCCTCGCTTTCTCAGTTTCAAGACATTGCAGTCTTAAAGCATCGAGTAACGGTCGAACGCGACGTTTTTCCTTTTTCGATCAGCACCGAATCAAAGCTGAACCGTTTCACGCGACTCCGAGGTTTCGGATTCTTAACTTCCCACGTTTCTACCGATTCTTTTCTAAACTTTCACGCCTGACCGATTTTACGACCTCGCCGTACTATCATATATCTCTTCCGTCGACTCTACCATTGTGCGCAACAAGAAGCAGGATAATTTGAATTTAGCCAAGATCTCCCGTGTATCGTTGCCGCGCGAGATTCAAGTTGGAACGATTAACGCGTCGGAACTTTGATCGAAATTGATTTAAATCTCGACAGAGAAGGAAAGCTCATTTTGGGGTGAATAGCCTAAGGCAAATGTCATTCCCAGGAAATAGGTGGGGTGGGCGGGGTTAGTGCGACGATGTAATAACCGGGAAACTAAATTCAGACACGAGGTTGACTTCGATTCGAGAACTCCCGTGAGATTGCTGCTTATACCGGCTCGCCTTTCCTTGCCCTTTACGAGGCCGTCAACGAGGAGGCCGTGGTTAAATATCGAGGATCGTGCTCCGGGCTTGTTTTCGCCCCGTGCATCCATATTCGATGCCGAGACCGTTTCTCCGAGGCTACGTGCACGATATCGCTACACCACCCTCGGCCGTCCATCCACTCGTTTTTACGATTTCGCGTTAACGTACCTACATACGCCAACTACGGCAACTAGGACTCAAGTGGCTAAAAGTATCGGGCAAATGGCGTTTCGCGTGCGAAACGGTAAAAATCACTTGGAGCTAACAGCATATTTCTCTTTCGTGTATAGGCGAGAGGTAAAGGGGTGAAGGATTTAACAGGGCAGTAACTCGAGTCGAAAAGTGAGCCTTTTTTAACAATTTTTTTTTCCAGTAACAAATTCGATAGCCTTTTTCATGCGAGCCATGTAAAAATTGCTGGCGTGAAAGAGGTGACTTGAAAGGGGAAAAATCTTTCGGGTGTTCTCTCTCGTTTCACGTGATCGATCGATGAAAAAGAACGTCTCTCTCGATCTGATTACCTTGGGACACCGAGGTCTATTCTTAAACGATAGGTGTATACAATATGCATACGTGGAAAGTTTGGCGAAAGAACGAGGAAGAGAGAGAGAGAGAAACGATGGAAAAACGTGCACTGTCTTTTAAATCTGGGATATTCAATTTGCATGTCGCGGTCCAACCGAGAGATGGAAATCCAGCGTTCCTCGAGATTTTCGCCGGTTTGCTCGGCGTAACCCCAGGAATTGGATATCAAAAATGTAGCTAGAACTAACAATAAGTACGGTTGAAATATTCAAACGGATCTCCGAGTTTCTTCGTTTGGTCTCTATCGCGGTATAAATACGGGGAAAAGCCAAGTGCTGTGTCTACGTGTGTAGATTGCTCGTCTCCCGACTACACCAGCAGCTTCGTTAACCGAGTGTACACTATGGAGATTCTCGATTAACCGCGCTCGATTAAAATAAAGTGTACGCCGGGAGTTGTGTGTGCATCTTTGAAGGCTCTCTCGTGACGAGTAGCTCGGATATACTCACACTTGACGCGAAAATGAAGATGCTCGCTCCGTGTTTCGTTCAGGTCATTCGTTGCGGCGCACACGTACTTCCCAGCGCTACTCCTCGTCACGCTCTGAAGCACCAGACTCTGGTTCGACCAGATTATCCTGGCTGACGCGTTATGCGCCAGTATTTGGTTCTGAAAGCACAGTAATTTCCAACTTAATACCGACGTCGTTAATTCCTCCTTTTTCTTCTAACGAATAAAGAGAGAGAGAGAGAGAGAGAGGATGAAAGGTGGTGTTTCTTATTTTTAGAAGGGGAAAGAGGCTCTGAAAGAGACAGGTATCTCTCGACAGCTCGACTTCGATCCATTTCTTTCCCGTCCGTGCTTAGGCTATCTCCAAGATTCGGATCGCGATTTCGTTTCTCGTTACGATCCACCCTCGCGATAAATTAGAGATAAACATGCACCGCCGCCGCCGCGATTGCAACGTCGGTCGGGTTATCAGCACCCTCTTCCAACCGCGGAATCGTGCATTTTTAGAAGCAATTACACCCGTCTAAGACCGAAGGTACATTTCCGAACGATAGAGCGTATACGTTGTTTTTACGTTGTCCAAGATATTAGACGAGACGTCGAGAGAATTGTCGCTGGAAGAACGGATGGATTCTTTATTATTGCGAGCACGTTACTCGGACACGAAAGGAGTCTCGAGGGAAGGACGTGGCTCGATAACTTTTACGATCGAAGACGTTACGCTGCCCCTTCTCTTCTCGTCTTTATTACAAATTTATCCGTTTCGATGCCGCGCTGTAAAGCACTAAAAGAAAAGAAAAGGAGAAGTAGGACGAACACTGTACTTCCTGCCAGTTAACGCCTTGCGGCCTCTGCCGTCGTTGCCTGATACAGACGAATGGTAACGTTGTACTCTTTACTACCTTAAATCCTTTGACTTCGTATTCCTTTGTGGAGATTGACAACGGACGGCGCGGGGAAGAGTTAGAGAAGCGAGAGGAAACTCAGCGGCTGACGGCTTATCAGTCGTCGCGCAGCTAAGAATGATACAGCGGTGCATTTAGTTGTTTAATCAGACCGGATGAAAAGAGCGCTAGTTTCGTTATCTTTTGTGCGCCGTTCTCTCTTTTGTCTCGGCTAACGAGGAGACAAAACGAATGCGTTTGATTCAAGAATTCCAGCAGCCTTCTCTCGAAAAATTAACATGACACCGGGGCCAACGGGGAAAGAGAGGGAGTGACGTCCTGTCGCCTAGGAAAGAGGACACGGTACTGTCTTCGAGCACGTACGTTAGGTGCCCCACCACCGCTATCTTTCCACCAGCAAGGTGCTCTCGCTCACGTCTTTCCAAACTACACGATGCTACGTTTAATTAGGACAGCCTGGGACAGAGTTTCATTATATCTTATTTCGTTCTTGTTTGCTCCGTGCAACAAAATGAAGAACGAAGTAAACGTACTATTCTCTCTCTCTCTGTTATTGCAGCTGTCTGAAATTTCCAGAGCGAACTCGACGCCACCAGCTTGTACATCGGCCGCGCGCGTTCCCTCCTCGAACAACCTCCAATCACGCTACTCCTCTTCCGGATAACGGGGAAAAAGAAACCTCCATCGGGTTAAACAACAGAGATTCCCCTTCGTCCTCCCTAACGCGGCAAGGACTTTCCGAAAAGTTTGCCTTGGATCGCGTTTCAATTAGTCGAGGACGATCGCGAGGAAGGTAGCTCGTTCTCGCGAAGAAGCGCGCCACTGGGACGGGCAGACCGGGTTAGAGCCAACAAGTAGGTAAAACCGGGACATGGCTTACCAGCCGAAGACCTTGCCAAATGCAGCCGCGCCTGTTTAATCGGACGGGAGACGTCCTTTCAACTCGTTCTTTGTCTTTCGTCGAGTCGCTCTCGCTTCCACCAATCGAACGTCTCGTCCTCTTTTTCCATCTTCTTTGCGTTTTTCTACCTCTCTCGCGTATTCCCTTCTCTGTCCGGAGACCGTTTCCTCCATTACACAGACTCACCCTCTTCCTTTTATCCACGTTCCGGCGGAATCCGTTCGCCGAAGATAATTCGAAATCGATTCGAAACGAGGCCATTTGAATCTCGGAGAAGGTGGCGCGGACTCGACGGAACAGATCGAGATTTCTTCTCCTCCCGCGAGTCTTTTTCCATTCCCCTTTCCCAGTCTCGCCTTTACCTCCCTCCTCTCTCTCCAACGCGATCCTGGCTTTGTTAGATTGTTTTATAATCTCAGCCGGAGGAGAGGAGATTCTCCGAGGGTCGTGTACTTGGTCGCTCAGGTAACGCGTAGGTAGGTGGACCGCTCAATTGCTCGCGATCGATTCTTCGAAAGAGATGAAATCGGCGGCGCTGATTAGGGGCAACGTAGTTGGAAAACTTCCCTAGGAAGGATCCATAGAGACAGAGGCATCGAAAACGCGGCAACTCAATTAAACCGCGTTTGTAATCTATGCAACTCGGCCGTTTACCGTGTTTCAGAGTCCGGGCAAGGAGCTTTAGCTCTCTTAGCATAGGTTAAGCCTCGGTTAAGGCAGGGGGTTTACCTTCGATTTACTCTACCCGGCGCGGCCCAAACTCGTTAAACGTTAGACCTCGTTACGACACGTGGAAAAATTGATAAGAATCCGCTAAAATCGTCCGCTGACTCAGCTAACTTACACACACCTTTTGTACCCGACAAGAATGACCGTTAATTTACGAACCTTTGCACCTCGACGGTTCGAGAATGTTGCGTTTATCAGGGTCGGGGAGAAACGGTTGAAAGTCAACGTCCGCAGGAGTGGCGAGGATCTCGAATCGATACATCGATACTAGCCAGTATTACGTCCCCGCTTTGAGAAAGTAGCTGCAAAGTTTAATGTTTCCATTCGAGTCCCCGTTCGCTTCCTACCATTTTCCTCTGTGCTTCGGGACTACATCCACCCTCTATACCCCCTTCTTCGCAAACCTTTCGACGTTTCCCTCGCTGTGTTTTCCCTGGTCGTCGTCCCGGCAGAGTAGAGAAGCGAAAGAACGATACCGTTCCGTGTATCCAGCCAGTCAGCTCGAGAGCTTTCGTTTGTCTTTTATCGTGAGCGAGCCAATTCCGGCGAAGGGTAGCCCAGCGGCTCGGTCTCCCGCCGCCCCCTAATCTCTTTCCTCTATTTGTCGTGCGTGCTGTCCTCGCCCGTGTGCAAACAGTCCCCGTTTCTTTGCGTTTCGTTACAATTACCAGTTCAACAGACCAACCGGTTCCTTGGAATTTCCACGGAAAAACTGTCCAAAGCCAGAGTTTTCGATTACACCTCGTACGTACACGGTCCGATTGGCTGCTGTGCTTGTCTCGACGAGAGGAGGAGTCGTGTCGATCGCTCGGTTCCTCTACGAGACGGCATGCATAATGAGCCCGTAAACGCGCGCGAGCTTTAATTAGAACGCCTTAAGGATCGCATCGCAGACTCTGGTTCGCCGTTATTAATTCGATTTTGCCCGCACGGTTTCCCCCCGTGAGCGAGCCGGTCCTTTGAGCCCGAGGATCAGCTACGCGTAGCATTTTCCTTCTGCTAATCAGCTTTCGCTAAGGAGGTAAACGAACATCGACTAACTTCCACGTTAAGGTGTGGATAGGCCTGAATTCTCTCTAATCGCGTCACGGTTAACTTTATCCGCGACTTTTCCATCGTTAGACGGGGGGAGAACACGATCCAAGCAGCAGGTCACTTTGTGGTAATCGGACTTGGCCTCATGGACTCTTGTTCTAAGTCAACTTCCCGCAAGTTAGAAACGTCGACGTTCGACCCTTGTGAAACTTTCGGGAATTAATCGCTCGTGGAACCACTTGTACGTTCGAATAATTCGAAATTTCCTCGAGAGGAGCTGTAGTTACCGTAGTTGCCAGCGAAACGATTCGGTCGCGCAGGTACCTACTTGTTTCACGTTCGGCTGGCGTCGCGGAGGGTCAGAAGAAGATATCGATACCGTATGGAAAGTGGGAGAAAAGCAGCGGGGAAACTTCCCGTTTGAACCTGACAAGAGCGAGGCGAGCAAGTGCGCGCGGTTTTATGCAACGGGTCTAGCCGCGGGGAGAGGAGGCGGCAGTTGGAACGGAGCCCAAAAGCCCGGAGCTTCATTTTGAGAATATTCGGAATCCGGAATAAGGGTGGAATTACTCGTAGCACGTGGTACATACAAGCATACCGGTACAATGGCCGTGCGGCATTGTCTCGCACGTCGCCGTTACATAAAGTAGGTGTTAACCGTCCTTTCGTACACGTTTCCGTGATATTCCATCTCCACCAAGGTTAGGAAAACGGCGCGTTTCGACGTAGAATAGATGAATTTGCCCCGAAGATCGGCGAGAGATAGTCGTGTGCCACCGGTATACCGTTTCCCGCCTCTGTTTTCCGCTCGCGACGATTCGTTTTAACGGATCTACATAAATTCTCTCCGCCTCGACGAGTCTCCCTCCCCCCTCCACGGAAATCGCGTATCCTCGCCTCGTTTTTCTCCACCATTTCACAGGAGGCATCGACCGCTTACGTTCCGTATTGTTTTTTCCCCCGGCAAGAGAAGAGCAAGATGCTATCGAGGAAGCCCGATTACGAGGAATCCCTCCGAGGTGGATCGTCCTCGTGACCAGAGGACAACAAAACCCCTCGAATATCTGGCTCGTTCAATCTCGCCGCTCAACTCACCACCGTCCACTTGACCTATCCGAAAGATTCATCGAATTTCTTCTCGCATTTCGATCCTGCAAAGATTCCCCGTACTTCCCCGTCCGATATACGTACGTATGTACTACCACGTTCGTTCGTCCCGCTCCTACGATCTCTAAGCTCGGACTTGCCGAAGAATTCGACTCACAATCGCGAGTCTCGTCTACTTCTTCTTCTTCTTCTTCTTCTACGTCCTTCTCTTTACCCGCTCTTGCTTCTGATAGACGGTCGGGATGAAAAAAAGCGGCTCAGAGGCGGGCGTTCATTCCGGTCAGACGCTGCACTGATTCCTTGAAAAATTGCCAACAACTCGTGGCCTTCGTGCATCCTCCCTTCCATATTTCCCACACTCGTCCTTTTTACTCTCCTTCCCGTTACCTCCCTTCTTTCCCACTCGTGCCCTAAAGGTTACGCGAAAATCATTTTATCTCCCTTCTTCCACGTCCTAGAAAACCGGAGGGCCACTGTTTCCACCTCCGTCCATTCACCTGATATTCATCCCTCGATCGCAGCGATCTTATTCGCGAAATTACGCCAACTCTGTGGATGTACGACGGTTTATCCCTGTTTCATGGGAAATCGAGCGTCGAATGAATAACAAGGCAGGCTGCATTGTGGCCTCGTTGCGAGATATTGTTGCTTCCATTGGATATGCGTGTATAGGAACCTCGCTGTTCCGCCTTTCACTCACCCCACGATCGTTCGATTCGGAAATTCCGTTATCGTCCCGTGGGCGAAAACGTGGGAAAAACATTCGATCTGGTACGAGCCTGGCAAAAGCGATTACGCGTTTAAACTTTTTCTACTGCGTTAAAGGGAGCCATTATCGTGGACGTGGATCGTTGGCCCGAGGAGAGGCCAAGTCAGAGAGAGGAAACGTTGCCTTCGAACGGTTGTATTTTCTCGAATCGGGCTCTGTACACGTACTAATGTGTCGGCGAACGAGCGAGCAAGAGTACTCGAGGAAACAGCAGCAGAGAGAAGAAGCCAAGGTTCAAAGAGTCGAGCTAGCTAGTATGCCGGTCGAATAGGTTCCACGGTAACGTAGCTTCCGTGCAAGCTCGCCCTTTCTTCTCCGCGCCTCTAACTCTTCCTTTTTCTCGCGCGCTTTATACCCTCCTGGACGTGTCGCAGACCTGCCACGCCGCCGATAAAATACAATTTATCTTTCCCACCGTACACCTCCTTCGCGGGCCAAATATTTTAATCCTTCTCCCTCCTCGATTCCAACGACCGCGGGACCTGTTTCTCTCCTTCCGTTCAATTCGAAATTGTATCTATAGAGGAGAGGAGAGAGGTGGTAACACGGTGAACGCTCGTAAATTTCACCGCCTCTTCGACTACCCGAGACTCCACGTGCTTCGCCCCACTTGTTTCCTCCACGAGGAAGAAAGGTGAAAAAATGCCGTGTGCCGGCCTCGATCTAAACAGCAACCCTCTCCGGAAGATTTGTGGCCAGGATTTCGTACCTCGTCGCGCCAAGATTGCCCGAAAATTTTTCATCGCGATTATATCGCCGGTACTGTCCTGGCATTTTCGCCGGAGAAATTGTTTCTCTTCGTTTGTTCCAAAGCGATCCATCAGCGGTGAAGATCGCGTACGAGTTAAACTTTACTTTGAGTTTCATTAGCGTCCCAGTTCCTCGCCATTACCTATGCTAATTTCCTCGCTCCGCGTCCAAGGTACGGAAAGTGATTTGGAATTTCATCGAAGAGGTGTGAGAAGATCTAGATTTGCGCGGAGAATCGATCGAGTATCGCGAGTTACGCGACTTTTGACGCAGGTATTACAGACGCCATTTGCGAGCGGCGAGGATGATGCATTGCGGCTGAAAATGCGGAATGCTCTCCTTTTCCTTTCTATCCCTTTTTTCCAGCCGTGTTCCTTCCTCTTCTTCTCCTACACTTTCAACGTCCAAGCGAGAGTCTCGTGTAAATGCTGCAAGCTCTTCCTCGCAGCGGAAAAGTTCCCTCGTTATCTTTCATTACATTTTCGATTCTTCCTCGAGCTTCCGACGTTCCTTCTCCCAGCCAAACTTCCACGGCCTCGAATTTTACCAGTTGCTCAGGAATCTTGTAATTTAGTCGTTTGTTCGATGTCTCTTTGATTCTCCTTTTCAGTACCGGAGGGGAGGGGATATTAGGCGCGACATTTTTCGAACGTTCGTTCGGCAAACTTGTTGCGCGAAGAAGAAGGAAAGAGTCTCCGGAGAAGCGAAAATCCGAGTGATTCGTGAAAGAATTCGGTTGACCATAGTACGGTATCTCGCTCGATTTCAGTGGAACCCTTTTATCTCTGCTAAGGTAAAAGCAGTCAGATCGAGGAGTGGGAAGGTTCTTCGTGCCTCGGTCGAAAGCGATTTCAAGTAGAATTCCTGCACGGCTGTTCGATCGCGACGCCGACCCGCGCCGCACCGTTGAAATTGATTGATGTACGGCCTGCCGATTCCTTCCAGCCAGTCCCTTCCGCATTAAGTCCCGGACTTGTCGGATTGAATCTCGCGCGAGAGGGAAATGCAGCCGACCGATTCATTGCGAGAAAGCCCATTACCCTTGCCTGCTTTTCCGCCGCGACTGATCGATATTTTCGTTGCTCGCAAGCGTTTTTGAGAGAGAGAGATAATGTCGCCTGTGGAATGACTTCTGTCGGGAAATTGGGAATTTTCGAAAGATGTATCGGCGACGGTGTCGAGATTACGAAGAGCTCAACCACTCTGTATTTAGCTGGACTAGTCGGTCTATCCACTTTACCGGCAAAGATGAAGAGTCGAGAGAAACGCCTCGTCTCAGGGTTAACCGATTGGCTCGTCGATATCTTCGCGTAGCTACAGAACGTCTCCATTGTCCCGGTGAATGGTACAGCCAGCCTAATCACTGTACCCCATTATAGCGGCTATATCTCTCTACCGTCCCTCTCCCATCCCCTTCTTTTTTCTTCTTCCTTCGACCCTCTTTTTCAACATCACTCCCTTCGGCTTCTTTCCGTTCGCCGGTCCTTTCTCGTCTTTACGATCGCCGTTGGAAAGGTTATTGCCGACAGGCAGTGGCTCGAAGCGTTTTTTTAAGACCGACAGTTCGGAATCCTGGCTCGATTGGTACCTTGGGATTGATTGGCAGATAGAACGTGCCGATGGCCTCTTGTAATTCCTAGGCAAACCCTTCTAATCGAGCGAAAAGGACTGTCTTTCCTATAATTTACCTCGAGATTAATTCATTGGTTCTCGTACGCGGAGGGCAGGGAAATAACCAAGTATAAAAATATCGACGGCAGTTCACACGGGGCGGTTTGAAAGTGACCTCGAAAGATTGCCACGGTGGCAGCGAGAAACGGGGCAAAATGAAAGGGGAAAGTCTGCGGATGAAAGGAAGCCCGTGAGGGGTTACGGTAGTCGACTGCTCCGGCAGAATGAAGTCGGATCATATTTTTAAGATGCAATTTCGACGGAAATCTCTTACGGCGTAGCAGCTGCTACCGGGCTACCACCGTTAGCCCGTCCCCTTCCCGGTGTTCCCTGTGAACTACGACACGTATCCACCGAAAGATCCTCCGACTAAACGTAAAGAACGAGGCGAACGAGAAGGGGCTGGATTAAGGCAAACGAGGATAAAGAGAAGAGGAGTAACGAGTATGAGCCGGCACCAACGAGACGGTGCTCGTATTTCTGGTCACTCCACCTCTAAGCCCTTCTTAAAAGAGACACTAGCATCCTTTCGCCGTTTCTTTCGTCCCGTCACGGTACACACTTTAACTGCCCCCGACGACGCTTTTCCTCCGCTTCCAAAACAAGAGACGTTTTCTCTGCCCAGCCAAATCGAACTCTGCTAAACTTTGCTCCGCTGATCGGAGAGGTGGTTACGGAAGAAGGACGTAAATAGAGAGAAAACCCAGTGTACAAGTGGTTGTAGGATCTTTGTTCTTCCGTTCTTCCGTAGCCACGTAGTGAAAATTTCCTACTCGAGGGAATAACGAATGTAATTTCACGTGCAACGACAAGGAGGTGCGAGTTGAGAGTATTTTATCGTACGCCGTCATAAATCCGCGGAGATGATCGGCTTTCAGTGCAGCGTGTTTCGCGGCGCGTTAAGTCCTCGCGTTCTAACCATCCCTGCACCGGATCGAGCCTGTCGAACGATCTCATATATTATGCAAATAAAGGATTCAAAGTTTTACCTAGTGCTCGATATACGAGCCATTATACGGGATAAGACCGCCGGGCCCGAGCCAACCAACCCTCCACCAGGAGGAGAGAGTCTCTTTACGTTCGCGGATGCTGTCGCGTAAATTACCTGTAACGTAGCTCGCTTGTAAATTTAGGGAGCTCTCTCTCTCTCTCTTGTTACTTCTCTTCTCTGCTCCGTTTTTTGTCCACCAAGAGAGATTTTTCTCCACGAATCTGGCGTATTATGTTTCCGGCATTGTGACACGCTAAGTGTACGGGAATTTGTACCGCGTCGCGAGCGTGCACTTTGCGAGATACACCGTGCTTTAATAGCGTCATAATGGTGCAGCTGTGTGCCACGAGAATACTCTCTACTCTAACGTCTGAAATTGTAACTTTGTTAAGAAACCGGCGAGTCTTCGTGACCGAGGAGCGAACGACAGGGAACTCCGTGTCCCTAGGTGCAAACCTATATCGGATTCAATTAAACGGACGCTGATCGTCGGACACGCTACGTTAATTAATCGATAGAATGATACATACGTCGTGTATCCATGTCAATTTGGACCAGGGAGGATTTGCTCTGATGTGGCATTCGAAGTAGACGTCGTCGCCTTCCTTGATATCCCCGGGATTTATCGTGGATCCAAGATTCAGCGACACTATTGGCGGATCTGTAATCAGATTCGATTCGGGACATTTACGATAAAGGAGAAACGATAAGGGTGAATCCTTGGTGGAATTATTGAAATATCGAAAGTCGATATTCAACGACGTTGCGTCCGTGTCTCTCTAAAAGAAGATTAGGGTTAATAATCTCCCCCGCTGTACGATTTCGCCCGGTAATGGATGGAAAGGATAGCGTGTGCGTGTACGTGGCATTCTCGTTGACAGGGCTTTCGCTATTTTTTCTCATAGAGAGGGAAAATGGGAGCAAGGGCTTGGATACGTTTTATCGCCACGATAGGCTCTCCTCCACAGCCCTGCCGTAGAATTTCATCAACCTGATACCAGGCTTAAGGCACGTTCTCGTCGTCAACCTTTTCCCGGTTGCCGCTCTTTGATTTTCACGCCAGACCGCTTCTTTCTCGTTCGTGATATACGACCGTCCAAATACCCAAGGAATTATCTAAATCCGAGACACTTAACACCGCCGTTTCCCGTTCGTGGAAGAAGAAATTTTCTTCCGTTGAATTACAGAGAGAAGAAAAAGCATTCTAATTTTTTCCTATTCTTCCCCTCTCTACCACACACGCACAGTCCACGTTACAATTGCGTTGTTCAGCTTGTGACCTCGGAGAAGTCTCTCTGTTGTCGGGTGATTTTTCGGGCTGCTGCAACATCCCCCGGAAGAATTCCTGTATTTTCTTCGCTGCTTGTATCTCTCATTTACCGTCTTCATTAGTTTAATCATAGCAGCAGCCCCTCTTAGCCCAGGTTGCCCTCGTCAGGGAGTTTATTCTTCGGGCGTTCTCGCAGGATTTTATCGCGCGCCACGATAAATTCCCACCCCCTTTCCGCCACTTCCTTCTTCTCTCCTGCACCCCTGCATCGCTCTCTGGCTCTCCGTACACCCACTCTTTTGAGATAGTATTAATTAGCTCGATCGCGTCCCTCATCCCTTCAACTAGACGCTTTTTAACCCTCGAACCCCGCCTTCGCCGCTGTACCGCGTCCCTTGTTTTTCGAGATCCTCGCCCGGGATTGCAATAAATTCCACCCTCCGTCCTGCCCTTTCATTTTCTTCCTCGTTTCTCGCGAATCGAGAGCTCGTGTATATATGGACGGAAACGAAGCTTGGGCACGAAAAATTCCCACTCTCTTTCTCTCTCTCCCTTTCTCTCTGGGGGTAAAACGCGTAATTCCAACGATGCTGCGCGACGGTCAACGTAATTGGATACGAGACGTGACGTCATTTCCCGTGCTCCCGTGCTTTTTCCTGATACCCTTTTCCGGGGAGATATTTCTTCCGGCCGTCGATGCATCTGGCGCAATTACAGCTTTTTGTAGAACGTCAGAATATTTTCGGTATTTTCTCGTCCCGCGTTCCTTTTTCTTTCCGTATCGTTTCTCACCAGTTTGAAATTTCACATTTTCCAAAGTTTTTCGCACAATTAATCGTAAAAAGTTAGGTATACAGCCTCGGGGAGCATGTCGTTCTTATCGGAAGATACTTGAGATTCTCGCTTAAGTTTCGCAAGCAGTGAAATTTCCACGGTAGAGGAACGGTGTCACGTCTGCGTTCAATTTATTTCTCCTCCGGAGTGTAAAAAGTGAGGATTGAACTTTCGTATTGGAGTGTAACGATTAATCCAACTGTTCCCAACGTCTTAAATTCATCGACATCTCGAAAGAAATAAGTTTCAACAAGTTTCGCGGTTTCCCCCGTGAAACCAGGTCGGTCGTCACTCTCTCTCTCTCTCTCTCTCTCTCTGTAGCGAGTATACTCTGTGCAGCAGGTGTGTCCGGTGTAATAAATAAAAATAATCTCGTAAAAAGGGATATATTCATGGTGGCGTGATCCCCGGAATATACACGATCAGCCCCGGTACTTACACGGTTTTTACTCTCTCGAGTCTACCAGTTTAGACGAATTCGGCTGGTGGGAAACGAGGAAAGATACGCTTGGTGAAAAAGGGACTCTGTTCGCCGGTCGAGCCTTAAACAGCAGGGGTGCTGAGAGGGGCGCGAGAGAGAGAGAATGAAAACCAGAGAACATTGACGTTCCTAAATCAACCAGAACGGCCAAAATTTTCATCCTCCACGTCCCCTCTCTCTTCGTACGTATTTTTTCTCTCCTTTTTGCTTTACGATCAACCAGAGTGGTGAACGGTTCTCTAGCAGAGGTACGCAACGATCGGTGCCGTTGAATTTCGTTTGTAATTCGCTGGAAATCCAGCGGAGGCCGTTTTATTGGTAGCTGTAAAAAAAAGAAAAAAGAGCCACGGAAGAGGAAGGAGAAATGCGCGTGTGTGTGTTCAACGTAAAAAGGCTCGTAAATCGGCCGATTTCACGATGCGGCTCGATAGAAGATGAGACCAGAGGGATACCGTGGATGCTCTATTTTTTTATGACGTTCACGCGACGCGTATGCATACATTAAAGGAAGGCGTCGGCTGAGCCGGGAATAAGTTTCAGCCACGGGAATCATCGAATATGCATTTAACGTCACGTACGCTCGTAAAAGGTCCGGACGAACCAAGGAAGAGATCCTCTTCTCCTCTCCTAGCCCGCCGAAACAGCAATAGAATGTACATATATTTATCGCGTATACTCACAGACGACGTCGATTTTCCACGATTTCTCCACGAACAGCCCCGTCAGGTTCGGATTTTCGGCCCTGCAGGTGATCGATTTCCCGTGGTCCTCCACGCCTGGCTCGAACTCCACCATGCTCACCGTTCGATTCTCCGATCGTTCTTCCTGCGCGGACAGAGGAAGACCATTGTTCAAAGAAAAATCTTGCGTTATTTCCAGAGGGAAACGGTCCAAGTGGAAGGACGTTGAAATTTCAAAGTGTAGGTAGAATGGAGGAAGGCGCGAGGATATTTGGTTCTTTAACGGACAGGAAATCTGAAAGAGTTCGACTGGTGCACATTGTTAAATAAGTCGTCGTCTGCGAGCGAGGCAGCTGTTCTCTACGTTAAATTTCACGATTCTCGCTCGAATCGTTTGTCTCGCGAAAGAAGAAACGTTTAGACTGTACGAATACGCAGGACTCCGTTCCACCGGAGAAAGGAATTTTTCGAGCGTGTCTAACGTTTCCCGTTGACTTTTGGAAATTCCGTCGCGTGACAATTCTCGTGCGTCGTTTTTCCCCAATGCAGCATTCCGCGATATTTTTCAGCATACCTTCTCCCTTTCTGTCCTCTGTACCGTGCTGCTCATGATCACCCCGTTCTTTTGTCGTCGCGGCACGCAATTTTGGAAAATAATAATTTCGCGGCGGGAGCGCGAGTGCCGTTTTTAAGCGTCGACCGGTTCAATTCCGCGGCGCAAGATGCCGAGAAACGAGGGCGACCTGTAAAGGGTGAGAGGGGCGAAAGATAAAAAGGGAGGAAGAAAATGGGAAACGAGTTCGACGGTAACTCGGTATGGTTAATTTTGGTTATATTAAGGTCGAGAGGCGGACCGTAAGCAACGGC